GCCGCCTCGTTCTCCTCCAGTGCTGTACGTAGACAACAAGGCCATGCTGGCCTTGTGTCGAGAGCAGAGAGTGGAGCACAGAACGAAACACATTGCTCTCCGCTACTTCCTTGCTCGTGAGCTACAGCAGCGTGGTCAGCTGCGACTTGCGTACGTGGCCTCTGAGGCCAACATTGCTGATATCTTCACCAAGGCACTTGCGCCTTGTGATCATCAGCGCTTCTGTACTCAGCTGGGTCTTGTGCCTACCTTGCCTCACTTGCTCACCCCTTGACCTTGTTTGTACTGTTGCATATATATATACACCTGCTCTTGCTTGTCTAGCCTTATATATATATGTAATCCTGCATGTGAACTGGCCTTGTGGCCTTGAACTTGTGCTCGTAATGTGTGGTGACTTTGTGATCCACCCTGAGCTTGCTTTGCTTTGCTTGACTGGTCTTGTGACCCCTTGTTCTCCCCCACTTTGCCTATGGGGGTGTGTCAGATTTATATGACATAGCTACTGTAGGCTATAGTGGGGTAGCACATATGGGGTACAGTTTTCTAGGGTTTGCTTTTGTACCCAACTTTCCCTTAGTCAATTCATTCCTCATTTCTTCACAGTTCTATCCCTGGTGGGTGAGTATCCATCTGGCGCTCGTATAACAGTTGAAGGTCCATACGAGTTTGTTTACCTTCACATAACCGATTCAATAACTCGGCAAATCTAGCCTCATCGCGCTGACGCATAATCGTCGTGAGCTCCACGAGTCGCACACGTTCCCACAATTGTGATTCGTTTATGGTTGATGCAGAATGGTCTCCGAAACAATGAATATCGCGCACCGGAGGAAGCTGGAAAAAATCACCAACAAATATCATATGCAGTTCCCGAAGGCTAAAATCGATCCATTCAGACGTATTCTTTCCCACCATTGATATTTCATCAACAATGACAATTTCTACGTCACCGATTCGTGCTCGTAAGGTATTCATCTTATCCGATGTCAACTTCTTGATTCGTCGATTTTGAACGACGGGAATCATTAAGGCATTATGTATCGTATCACCCTTGATCTGGAAAGCAGCAACACCTGAAGGTGCGATCTTTAAAGCGGCAGTATACATTTGACAGCGGGGTTCAGGGTTTTACAGTGTGCCCCACAATTTCGCCCCCACCATGTACCATTTATAAAATTTTGGCACTCTCTCTGCCAAATGTATACTCCTGCTTTAACGCCTTAACAGTACTGAAATCCGAGTGAATCTGCGCATGAAAAATTCGCATCAATCGATCATGAACAGTCTTAATCAGTACTGATTTGCCAACGCCGGCACCACCGCTCACGAGTATGCAAAGAGGTCCATTTTCGAAAGATCGACGCACGCCTCGAATAATGTGGTCGGCAATTGCACGTTGCTCAGCGTTCAGCATACGTTCCAGTTGCAAATACTCGCTGTCACTCGTAACAACGGAACGAAACGTATCAATCGAACGAACGGGGTGGTGAAAGCCTAGCTCCACACCAATATCCACATTTGCACCGCATCGAGACGTATCGTTATCCAGATCGTCATTATTATCTTCCTCATGCAATGCGTACTCAAATGCGCGCATCCACGAATCACCGCTGATGGAATATTCTTTCCTCTTAGAAATGATAGATTCCTCGTTTGCCACAAACGTCCGCGCTGTTAGTGCCGTGCTGCCCTGCCCTGCGTCACGCTGCCCCGCGCACGCCCTGCTGCGTCGCGCTGCCCGTGCATGCCCTGCCCTGCCCTGCCCGCGCGCAGCTCGCTGCCGCGCCAACGCCCTGCCCACGCGCCGCTCGCCGCCGCGCGCCCTGCCCTGCCCTGCCCGTGCGCCGCGCGCCGCCGCGTCGCCCTGCCCGCGCGCCGCTTGCCGCCGCGCCCCCGCCCCGCCTGCGCGCCGCTCGCCGCGCCGCGCTGCCCTGCCCGCGTGCTGCTCGTCGCCGCGCACCGCCCTGCCTGCGCGCTGCTCGCCGCCGCGCGCCCTGCCCTACCCGCGCGCCACTCGTCGCCGCACCGCGCCGCTCTGCCCGCGTGCCGCTCGCCGCCGCGCGCCCTGCCCTGCCTGCGCGCCGCTCGCCGCCGCACCGCCCTGCCCGCGCACTGCTCGCCGCTGGGCCGCCGCCCTGCCCGCGCGCTACTCGCCACCGCGCCGCCCTGCCCTGCCCGCGCGCCGCTGGCCGCCACGCCGCCCTATCTGAGCGCCGCCCTGCCCTGCCCGCGTGCCGCCCTGCTGGCTGCCGCCCTGCCCTAATCTGCCGGTGCCTCGCCCTGCTGGCCGCCGCCCTGCCTTGCCCTGCCTGCGTGCTGCCCTACTGCTAGCGCGCCCGACTGCTCTGCCCTCTATGGCCACTCTCAGCGTCCTTACCTTCGATCCGGAGGGCCGCCCGATAGAGTTCGATGCATGGCTCGACAACTTACAGCTGTACTTACGGAGCGACTCTGGGGACGGTGTATCGCTGTTTGACCTCACTTCTGGCGCCTCTCTCGCCCCTGCCGCCACAGCTGACAGTACGACTCGCTCACAGTGGCTTACCCGTGACGCTGCTGCTCGTCTAGCTGTTCGCAACCACCTATCGTTAGCCGAACGTGCTCACTTTGGCCAGCACAAGACTGCTAGAGCCCTGTACGACGCTGTAGTCGCTCGTTACTCCTCCCCGGCCACTGCTGCTCTAGGCTGCCTTCTCCTGCCCTACATGTTCCCCGAGCTGTCCGCCTTTGCCACAGTCGCCGACCTCGTCACTCACCTTCGCACTAGTTACACTCACTATCGCGCTGCGCTTCCCGCCGAGTTCCTCGCCAAGAACCCTCCTCATATGTACACCACTCTCTATTTTATAGTCACCCGCCTCCCTGTCTCTCTTAGCGCAGTCAGGAACCTCCTCCTCGCCCTTGACCCCACAAACCTCACTATCGACTTGCTCGAGAAGCACCTCCTAGCAGCTGAGACTAGCATAGTCGCTGTAGGCGCTTCTCGTGGCACTCCTCTCACTCCCTTCTTTGAGGGGTGTTCACCTCTAGTAATAGCATAATAAATTCCAGGCAAGCTAGCAAAGCCAGCATAAGCCGTCGTACTCTCACAATGTGGAGAGCTGCTTACTGATCAAGGGACCGAATTTCTGGAAAACTTTGATGAGCTGCTTGAAGAGATGGGTATCATTCATCGAGTTACTTGAAGGTATCACCCCGAAGAAATGACTTCGGACCTATGATGAGACACACAAGAGGAGTTGAGACAGGTCACCGGGAACTATGGTGGGAGCAGGCGGGTTATCGGTTTACGAAGCAAGCAGCGCTGAAAAAGTTGTCCCGTTACCACCTGCTGTACGGGCATGACCTAGTGCTGAATGTTGATGCATCGAAGCTGCCCTCGGCAACAATTGAGGGAGACGAGCCGAACCTATGGGCGGAGCTAGCACAAATTAGGGCGATGTTTCTGAAGGAGCTGACCCCAGCCGCGTTGGAAAATCTACACGCGGCGTAGTTGCGAGATGCGAGAGCAATCGCTCAGGTAATTCCAAATACTGATGTCTGCCTTGGTTTTCTTCCATTGTTCGATGGGAAGATATCGCGTGGTCGGGTTGCTCTCATGAGGTGAGCTGGTACGTTGGCGAGTTAGGGCGATCGATCTCTATGAGAACAAAAGTAGACTTGGGCAACCGCGGGCTGGGTAGCTTTCAAAGGAATTGGCGATGAAGGAATTGACGTTGAAGGAATTGGCGATGAAGAAATCGACAATGCAATTGAAGAATGACTTCCGGGTTGAGCCATCCCTTCTTATATGACTCTACTCTCTTCCGCTGGGGTCATGTCGGTTGGGTTGGAGTTGCTCACGAGTCGTTCGGAGGTTGCGGCTTGGGAAGTTGGTGCATGGTGGCTCAGACAGTTATGTCTCAGGTTGTAAAATGAAGCGTCGCTGGGCAAGGGGTGAAAGCCTTATCTTGGCGATGACGATTCGGGGCGGTTACGTCTAGGGCTGGTAGATGAAGCGTTGTAGGGCAATGGGTGAAATCCTGACCCTGTGGATGCTTTGTTGGTTAGTGGAATGGCGGTTGCGCTTCGGACTGGAAGTTGAGTCGTTGCGGGATAAGGGGTGAAATCCTAATCCTGGTGACTGCTGCTTGGGTCGGTTTTAATGATGGGCCAAGGGGTGATTCCCATACCCCATCTTCTCCTCAGGGTTGAGATGCTAAGCCAGGGGCGAAATCCGGTCTTATGGAATTCCCTTGGGTGAAATACTGCCATGATGTTGGCGGTTTGCAGATGGAAGTTGAGTCGACTCGGCTACTAGACCAGGAGTGAAATCCAAAGCTCTGGCGGTTGTAGATGGAAGTTGACGCGATTCGGATCAGGAGTGAAACCCGATGCTCTGGCAGTTGCAGTTGCAGTAGGGTGGTGGTGCATGAACGGTCGGGCGGTTTGGTCTCGCTTGGCTGTAATTGACGATCGACCTTCTTGGTTGACTCGTTGCCCAATTGTTGCAGTGTCTTCTCCAGCGATTAGTCACGTCGGGGTCGTATGACGATTGATCTTTCGGTCGATCTATGACTCAATGTTGCAGTTACTTCTTCGGCAGTTAGTCACGTTGGGGTCGCATGGAGGATGTGGGTGTTGAATCGTTGTTCTCCGACTACTTCTATCCCTTGACTACTTCTGTCCCTTCAGCCATTTGTCACGTATGTTGGCGGCTTCGGACTTGAGCACCCGAATTTGTCAGCATCCGGCCGGTCGCATCTTCAAATTACAGTTGGATTTGGAGAAGCGGTCAGTTGACTCTTGGCCTCCACCCTTGTTCCGTACTGTGATTTTTTTTTTTTTTTTTTTTTTAATGGATAAATGGGTTTCATCGCCCGTCAGGGGCTAATTTTTCTCGAATGGAATCTTGCTTGTCAATGACCATTGGTTGTCCCCCCGAGTAGATCCGACTGCCTCCTGGCAGCAGTGATGCAGGGTCGGACGTTGGGGACGATGAAGCGACGCCCGACCCGATGAAGCTTTTACTGTCGGATTCCTCCCGACTCCTCTCCCTTGTCAGGAGAAAAGTCAACCATCATGAACGAGGGAAGGACAGTTCGACTGAGGGCGTCGACGTTTCGGTGAGAAGCGCCGGCCTTGTACTGCATTTCGAAGTCGAATTCTTGCACACGAATGCTCCAACGGGCGAGCTTCCTTGTGAGGTCCCGGGATGTCATGAGCCAGGTGAGTGCCTGGTGGTTGGTCTGGATGGTGAATCGACAACCGTAGAGATACGGTCGAAAGTGCTTGACGGCCTATAGGACGGCCAAGCATTCTCCGTGCGTCGGAGCGTAGTTGGTTTCAGCCCCTCAGGTGGCTCGGCTTGCATATGCGACCACGTGCTCTAGGTTTTGGTCGTCACGTTGAGCGAGAATGACGCCCAATGCTTCGGAAGAGAAGTCAGTCTGGAGTGTGAAGGGCTTGGTGAAATCGGGGTAGACGAGGATCGGCGTGCTGGTCAGGGCTACGTTCTTTTTTGTTATCTACTTTATCCTCAGCATACATGCTGTCATTCCGCTCACCCGCTCACGCTCTATCAACTTGCCCCCACTCCGTGCTCTCCCACAGAGCACACGCCAGCCTGTCGCGTTTGTACGCCGCGCCCGCCCTTCGCGCCCGCGCCCGCCCTTCGCGCCCGCGCCCGCGCTTCGCGCCCGCGCCCGCGCTCGCCCTTCGCGCCCGCGCCCGCCCTTCGCGCCCGCGTTCGCGCCCGCGCTTGCCCTTCGCGCCCGCGCCCGCGCTTGCCCTTCGCGCCCACGCCCGCGCCCGCCCGCCGCGCCTGCGCCTGCCCGCCCGCCGTGCCCGCGCCCTTACCCGCGACTGCTAGCAGCGCCCGCGCCCGCCCGCCGCGCCCGCGTTAGCCCGCCGAGCCTGCGCCCGCGCCCGCCCTCTGTGCCCGCCCGCCGCGCCCACCCGCCGCACTCCTGCGCGCCCACCGTTCCCGCCCTCTGCGCCCGCGCGCGCGTTTACCGTGCATGAGCGCCGCCTGTTACTGAAGCACTAGAACCAGCGCCTGTTGCTAAAGCGGGAGAGAGTGTGACGTATGGCGTGGCGTGGGTGGTTGAGGGAGGGGGTAACGTGGAGCAGGTCGTGAGAAGTGTAGAGGGAATGATGGGAGGCAATGAAAAATGCAAGTGGGATTAGGTGTTTATACGCGCTGTGCTATACTGTGTCACCCACTTTCTGGTTGTGAAATTTTGTTTAGTTTTGTGTTTTGTATGGTTAATTGTGAGAATTCGAGTAAAACGAGTCAAGTCAGCCAAAAATGTTGGAGTTGTAAATGAGAGAAATTGTGAATGAACAATGCACCTCTACCTGTTCTCTCTATTGCACGAAATTGTCTTGCTGAACGTCAAACCTCCTCTTGCTGCCCGTGATCTGAGAGAGCGGTACATGGGGGGAAAGGGGAAGAACGAGCACGGGAGGAAGGATGGCGTGATGGCGTCAAACGCCCTCTTCGTTCCCGTGAGCTGAGAGGGAGGTACTTGGGGGGGGGGACAGGGGAGGAAAGAGCTCGGTAGGAAGGATGGCATGATGGCGTCAAACGCCCTCTTGCTGCTCGTGATCTGAGAGAGGGGTATTGTGGGGAAAAAGGGGAGGAAAAAGCATGGGAGGTAGGATGGCATGATGGCGTCAAACGCCCTCTTGCTGTCCTTGAGCTGAGAGAGCTATAGGGGGGGGGGGGGAAGGGGAGGAAAAAGCACTGTAGGAACGTGATGGCGTCAAACGCCCTCTTGCTGCCCGTGAGCTGAGAGAGCGGTACCGTGTGTTGAAATGTAAATGTAAACTGCTTGTTGTGTAGTTTACTGTAATTATCCCTTGTTACTGTTGGTGGTGTACCTCATTGCATGTTTGTCATGCCTATTTGTACCTTTTGAACTATAGTGAACCCCCCCCCCTTTTGGCCCAACCTTCTCGTCACGCTACTCTAGTGACTCACGCTAGCTATCGCCATGGTTCCAAAGTTACCTAATCGTACGTTCTACACTTTGACATGATGTTAGAGCTTTAAGCTCCTCATGGGCCCACCATTTCGTCCGCGTTTCATGGCGCCCGTCGCGCCCTTAGTAGCGACCCCCGTCGCCACTCTTATGACAGTCGCGAAGCTCGGGACCGTAGTAACGGGCGCTGCGGCGACCTCGTTCGCGGCCGTCCCGTCGCCCTTCTCCCGTCGTCACCTCCCCGTCGCGCGTCGTCACCTCTCCGTCGCCTGTCGTCAGCTCACCGCCGCCCGTCGTCAGCTCCACGCCGCCCCTTGCGCACCAGCGGCTATCCCTGCCCGCCCTCCCGTCGGCCCCTATGCTGCTGCCGCGGCTGCACATTCCGCGACTGCAGCTGCTGTGCTGCCCCTTGCGGCCTCCCTGCGCACCACCCGTCCCGGCCCTTCGCGTTTGCGCAGGCAGTCGCTGTGGGGGGGGTGGAAGTGGGGAAAGGGGTGGCGGCCGTCGCGCCAGCGCCAGCACCTGCACCGACGCTGTTAGAATTTATGTATTATAGCATGCGAACACTTGTGACTGTACACCAAGAGTGGTGTACAGTTGGGTTGGTTTATGCTCTAGTTGTGGGTGTATTGCGGGTAGACACCCTAATTGGGGTGAACCCAAATATCCTAGCTTAGACTTGGCTCCAACCTTGTTGGCCAAGTGGGGCAACCAACTTTGGTTGGTTGGCCACCACCCCACTAGGGTTGGTTGGATGGTCCTCCCTCCCACTAGCCTACTTGGTCTTGGTGTCTTATGTGCTAGGTTTGGGTTCCTCTCCAACCTTCTCTTCCTTGTATAACCTTGTGCTCTCTTGATCTAATCTTAATGATTCTACTTCATAGTTTCTTTCATGGTATTCAGAGCCTAAGGCAAATGCCACTAGATCCTAGGCCTAATAACAAATTTCCTTCTATATTTTGTTTACACTACAGCACCTAAGCGAAATCGTCGCGCGGCCTCTCATAGCAAGTCGATACCTTGTTCTTAACAAACTCACGGGCCCCTCTGCCCGTCGCGTAACATCCGCTAGCATCCGTGAGAGCCCCTCTGCTCGTCGCGTAACCTCCGCTAGCGGCCGCGCGGGCCCCTCTGCTCGTCGCGTCACCTCTGTTAGCAGCCGCGCGGATCCCGCTTCTCACCGCGTCACTTCTGCTAACGGCGGCGTGGCCCCTCTGCCAGTCACGCCACCTCTACCCTTATTCGCGCGGACCTCTCTGATTGTCGCGTTACACGTGCCGGCAGTCGCGCGGACCACGTTTTCCGTCGCATTTCCTCTGCCAACAGTAGCGCGGCCCTTTCTACAGTCGCAATTTCACTGCCAGCAGTCGCGCGAACCTTTCTACCGTCGCAATTTCACTGCCAGCAGTCGCGCGGACCTTTCTACCGTCGCAATTTCACTGCCAGCAGTCGCGCGGACCTTTCTACCGTCGCAATTTCACTGCCAGCAGTCGCGCGGACCTTTCTACCGTCGCGTTTTCCCTGCCAGCAGCCGCGCGGACCTTTCTACCATCGCGTTTTCCCTGCCAGCAGTCACGCGGACCCTTTCTACCGTCGCAATTTCACTGCCAGCAGTCACCCGGACCCTTCTACCGTCTCGTTTTCCCTGCCAGCAGTCGCGCGGACCCCTCCTAAGGTCGCGTTACCTCTACCGACAGTCCCGCGGACCCTTTGATCGTCGCGTCACCCTTTCCAGCGACCGCGCGGACTCCTCTGCCCGTCGCGCTACCTCTGCCAGCACCACGGAGCAGCTGCGCGCCCCTCCCCATATTGCGCGGCGGCGGAGCTGAACAGCAGCAGCGGCGGTGGAGCTGAACAGCAGCAGCAGCGGCGGAGCTGAACAGCAGCAGCAGCGGCGGAGCTGACAAGCAGCAGCAGCGGCGGAGCTGAACAGCAGCAGCAGCGGCGGAGCTGAACAGCAGCAGCAGCGGCGGAGCTGAACAGCAGCAGCAGCGGCGGAGCTGAACAGCAGCAGCAGCGGCGGAGCTGAACAGCAGCAGCAGCGGCGGAGCTGAACAGCAGCAGCAGCGGCGGAGCTGAACAGCAGCAGCAGCGGCGGAGCTGACCAGCAGCAGCAGCGGCGGAGCTGAACAGCAGCAGCAGCGGCGGAGCTGAACAGAAGCAGCAGCGGCGGAGCTGAACAGCAGCAGCAGCGGCGGAGCTGAACAGCAGTGGCAGCGGCGGAGCTGAACAGCAGCAGCAGCGGCCGAGCTGAACAGCAGCAGCAGCGGCCGAGCTGAACAGCAGCAGCAGCAGCGGAGCTGAACAGCAGCAGCAGCGGCGGAGCTGAACAGCAGCAGCAGCGGCGGAGCTGACCAGCAGCAGCAACGGCGGAGCTGAACACCAGCAGCAGCGGCGGAGCTGAACAGAAGCAGCAGCGGCGGAGCTGAACAGCAGCAGCTGAACAGCAGCAGCAGCGGCGGAGCTGAACAGCAGCAGCAGCGGCGGAGCTGAACAGCAGCAGCAGCGGCGGCAGCAGGAGCGACACTCATGGCGACCGACACTGTGCCTATTGACACCGGCTCCATCGTTCGCCTAGAGGTCCAGGACGGCACTACCGCACTGAATTGGCACCGTTTCTCACAGAGTCTCACCGGCGTCCTCCGCTCCACCATTATTGGCGGTGTCAACCTCCACTCCGTTGTCTTTGCCGAACCGGATGGCCTTGAGCCCAAGCCACCTCCCCTCCTTGGTCTTGAACCTCCTCCTCCACCACCCCATCCTGGTGAAGCACCTCGCCCGCCCGATCTCCCTCGCCTCGTTTCTGACAACACCACCAATCCCTCGCGCCTCAAAACCTACGCGGAGGATGTAGCGACACACACGCGACTTGTGGATACCCACAAGGCAGCCCTTGCTGCTCACACCACGGCTGCTGCCCTTCATGCGAAGTACACTGCTGATAAGACGTCGTACACCTCCCAGCTGACTGATTTCCATACTCGCCATGCCGCCTGGTGCATTGCCGACACTCGGGCTATTGGCCCCATCAACTCCTGCATCCCGACCTCGCTCCAGAGCGAGCTTGACGCCACTTCCTCTGCAGTTCTCTGGCGCGCCCTCTGTGATTTGTATGACCGTCGGGACATGGCATCTCTTCATGCCCTCTACCGTGACTTCAACGCTATCACCCTTGACAACTGCACCGCCGTAGCTGACTATACTCGTCGTCTCAACAACACATCTCGGCGTCTTCGGGAGCGTGGGGCCACTATTGACGACCCCCTCCTCATTTGGCGCATCCTCGAGGGACTCACCCCGGCTTATGAGATGCACCGCATCGCCTACGACATTGTTCTATCTCCCCACGCCACGGCTGCCGAAGTCACCGCATGGGTCCTTCATACTGAAGCAAAGCTTACCCGCCAGTCCCCCTCCACCCTCAACTTCACACAGGGACGCGGAGGACGTGGGGGGCGTGGTGGCAAGGGTCATGGTGGAGGGAGTGCCGGAGGCGGTGGTGGTCGAGGTGGAGGGGCTGGCAGTGGCGCTACAGGTGGGACGTCGGGAGGTGACGGGGGTGCTGGTCGTGGTGGACGCTCAGGGGGTTTCCCTCCTTGCTCCTATGTCATTCGACAGGGCCCCAACAAGGGCCATCGCTGCAACCAAACCACCCATCCTACTGAAACCTGCTTCAAGGCCCTCAGTGATGAGTGGTTTGCTCGGGGCAATACAGGTACCCCTCCTCGCTGGGCCACTGTTACCCCTCGCCCCACTGTTCATGACGTTCGCACACTTCCCGCCTATCAGCCACCACCTTCTCAGCTCCACCAGGCTCTGGCGAGTCACCTGCCTCCCCACCTCCTGCACCAGGTGCAAGTCTTTCTTCCCCCCCTTCCAGATCCACAGCCTCAGCAGCAGCAGCAGCAGCAGCAGCAGCTGCAGCAGCAGCAGCAGCGGCAGCAGCAGCTGCAGCAGATGCACCCGGGGTTCCAGGGCGTTCCGCCTATGCAGCAGCAGTACTTGGGGCCACAGCATCACCCGGGTTTCCTAGGTCCCCCCCTCCTCCCTTATCCTCCCCAGCCACAGCAGCCCCTTCTCCAGCAGCAGCCATACTCTGGCTTCCCCCCTGCCCCCCCCAGTGTCTCTGACACCCAGGGCAGTTTCCTTGGTCATGTTACCGTTGCACCGTCTGTCGCTTCCATGTATCCCTCTGCTATTAATGAGACGCTTTTCCAGTAATCCGTGTCACCTCCCCCTCCTTCCTCCCCCACCTTGGACTTTGTCCTTGATAGTGGGGCCACAGAAACCGCACTGAAGGATGCTGGCACCCTCACTCCCCTTCCTCTTCCCACTCAGGTTCACGGTGCCGACACCAGTTTTTCCATCCCATGCACTCACCTCTCCACTCTACCTTGCCCCGCTTTCCCATCCGGTACAGTCACAGGTCTCCACATCCCCACCCTTCGCAACAACCTCCTCTCCCACCGTGAGATACAAGGCGCTGGTATTACCGCTATTTACCCTGGTAACGCTTCTTACTGTGATCTCTACAACACTGCTACTGGTCGCTTCCTCCTACGCATTCCCCTTTGCCCTCGCACTCGCCTTTACACGCTCCGCACACCTCGTCCCTCCTTCTGTCAGGTCACCACTCGTGCTGGCACTTCCACCGGCCCCCCTCCCCCTCCCCCTACCCCTCCCCCCCAGGTATCCTCCTCCCCTACGTCATCGCCCTCATCCTCCTCCCCCTCTCCTTCCCCGTCCTCCTCTAGTCACCTCTCCCACCCTGCTGTGCTCTTGCATCACAGACTAGGCCACCCAAACTTCGCTGCACTTCGCTCTGCCATCACATCCCGCCTCCTCGACCGCCTCCCCCCCACTCTTCCTCCCCTCCCTTCCTCTCCCGCACCCCCATGCCCATCCTGCATTCATGGCAAACTCAAACAGTCTCCCCATCACAGCCATCCCACTTTCGCAGCTTCTCCCCTTGACCTTGTTCACATGGACCTGTGGGGCCCCTATCCCATCCGCTCTCGCCAGGGGCACCGGTACATGCTCGTCCTCGTCGACGACCACAGCCGGTACTCTACTGTCTTCTTCCTTCACACGAAGGATCAAGTGCCGGCTGTGGTCATTGCCTGGGCTGAGCAGTGCCGCACACACTTTAAACGTCCCATCAGCCGCCTTCACTCTGATGGTGGGGGTGAGTTCTTCAATCATACCCTCGCCACTTACTGCAAAACCCGCGGCATTCAGCAGACCCACACCCTCCCCCATTCCCCTCAACAGAACGGCATCGCTGAGAGCCGCATTCGTGAGATCACCAAGATTGCTCGTTGCCTTCTTGCTCACGCCTCCACCCCTCCTTCCCTCTGGAGCTATGCCCTCCTCCTTAATCTCCGCTCCCACCCTCAGCATTCCTCCTCCTCCCCCACGGGACTTTGGTCTAAGGCCAAGCCTGACGCTGCTGGCCTTCGCGTTTGGGGCTGCAAGGCGTTCGTCCTCATCCCTGCGGCTGATCGCTCCCGCGCTGCTGGCAAGCTCGCCTCGCGTGCCCTGGAGTGCGTCTACCTCGGGCACAATCGCGATTCCCCAGGCTACCTGTTCCTCCACCCTCCCTCCGGTCGCCTCATCCACAGCATTGACGTCGTCTTCGACGAGTCCATTCCCTACTACTCCACTCCTCCTCCTGACCCTCTTCCCCCTCCCTCCTGACCCTTGGCTTGGACCGATACCGTCCTCCCACCCCTCCTCCCTCCCGCACCCCTCCTCCCGCCGATCGCCGCTCCGCTCCCACCTTCCTCCTCTGCTGACATCTACGACCCTTCCGCACCCGCCTCTCCAGCGCATTCAGCTGCACCCCATCCACCCTCTCCCTCCTCCTCTCACTCTCCCCCTCAGCCGCAGCAACAGCACCAGGGGCAGCAGCCGCAGCAGCAGCAGCAGCAGCAGGGGCAGCAGGAGCAGCAGGGGCAGCAGCGGCAGCAGCAGCAGCAGCATCATCATCAGCAGCAGCAGCAACGGCAGCAGCAGCAGGGGCAGCAGCAGCAGCAGGGGCAGCAGCAGCAGCAGGGGCAGCAGCAACAGCAGCAGCAACGACGCGCAACTTCCCGCTCCTCCCCTTTCCTCCTCCCTCGCATGCACACCCGCTCCCTGGACAAACTCATTGGAGCCCCTCCCCCCACCTCCATTCAGCTCCTCGAGGACTCCCATGACGAGTTTCTCAACATTCGGCAACACACACCTTTCCTTGCCTCCCTCTACCTTGACTTCCTCGGCTTTCCCGTCCTTGGCGCCACCTCCACTCCCACCATCTTCACTCCCACCACCTTCCAAGAGGCCATCACCTGCCCTGACGCGGACAAATGGATAGCGGCGATCTTCCAGGGGTGTGAGGCATTCATTCGCAACGACTCGTTTGTCGATGTCCCCCTCCCAGCCGACGCCAACCTCGTCGAGGGCAAATGGGTCTTTCGGGTGAAGCAGCTGCCGGGTGAGGAGCCAGTCTACAAGGCACGCTACTGCGCCAAGGGTTTCACGCAGACTTGGGCCGAGGATTACTGGTTCACCTTCGCCCCCACCGCCAAGCCGCCCACCCTTCACACCCTCCTCGACATTGGTGCGCGGGACAACATGGAGATCTGCTCCATGGACGTCTCCAACGCGTTCCTACAGGGTGACCTGCACGAGCGCATTTTCCTCCGGCGGCCCCCTGGTTTCCACGCAGCCTTTCCTGAGGATACTGTGTGGCAGCTGCGTCGCCCTGTCTACGGTTCGAAGCAGGCACCAAGGGAGTGGCATGCAAAGCTGTCTGCCACCTTGGGGTCCCTCGGCTTCTCTGCTTCGCACTCTGACGCCAGCCTCTTCATTCGCTCCTCCCCAGGAGCTCCTGGCGCAGGTGAACTACGTCGCCCTGGCGAAACAAGGTGATCGACCGGGGCAGTATGGGCAGTCTGGCGGCGGCGGTAACAGCAGGTGGAAGCCGGCGAAGGACGCCGACCAGCAAAAGTCGGCCACGGGTGGCAGTCGAGGAGGAGGAAGTCGACGCCGGGAGTGCTGGATCTGCAGCAGCCCCGACCACCTCTCCTTCGAGTGCCCCGACCGCAGTGACTCCGACGACGACGACGCCAAGGGAGGCCGCGGGAGGTCTGGCAGCCGTCGTCCTCATCGAGGAGGAAACAAGCCGCGTAAGGAGAAGCAGTCGACCAAGTCGACCTCCTCTGCTGGCGGCAAGGGGCGAGACGACAAGGAGGCGTCGTGCTCGCTGGTCGGCATCGTGGAGCCGACCGTCTCGCTGGCGCCGGAGGCTGGCGAGGACTTCCACACGATGGCGGCAGCTGTGTAGGCGAACCCGTCGGTGGTCCTGCTCAACAGCGGCTGCTCGCACCACCTGATGGGGACGAAGGAGGTCTTCGTCAACCTGCAGCCGAGCGGCGACGTCAAGCACGTGCACAGCTTCAATGGGGCGCTGCAGGACGTCCAGGGCCGCGGCACCGTCGCTTTGCAAGGGGAGGCCGAAAAGCAGGTGCTCATCCCCGACGTGCTCTACGTTCCGGGCGTACGAGCGAACCTGCTTTCGGCCGGCCAGCTGAAGGAGAATGGTGTGAAGCTGCAGGAGGATGGCGACGGGATGTTGCTCGTCTCGGCGGCGGGAGAAGTCCTCGGTCGGGCGTCCTACACCGGTCGAGTCCTCTGCACCGACCTGCGTCCCTGCTTGGCGAAGTCAACACCCACGGCGGAGGTGGTGGCCCTGCGTGCGATAGTCTCGATGACGAAGTCGACGCCAGACAGGCTGCATGCAAGGCTTGCTCACGTCGGCATGGACACCATACGGAGCTCGGCGAAGCACGAGGTCGCCATTGGGCTGGACCTCAAGTCGGCGTCGGGCGCCGACTCACCGTTAATGGCTCCGGCGCCGATGACGTGCTGGCTATCGTGCACATCGACCTGTGCGGACCATTCTGGGTGGCTGCCAAGGATGGCAGCCTCTACTTCTTGCTGCTGAAGGACCGCAAGACCCGCTATGTGTGGTTGAGGCCGGTCGCCAAGAAATCGGATGCGTTGCAGGAGTTCGTGCAGTGGCTGGTGGTGGCTGAGCGGTAGACGAAGAAGTCGGTAGTGATGCTGCGCTCTGACCGGGGAGGGGAGTTTCTCGAGAAGCAGTTCACCGACTTCGTGAACGGCAAAGGGATCATCCACGACCTGACCTGCCCCTATACCCCGCAGCAGAATGGCATGGCGGAGCGGAAGATGCGGACGGTGGTGGAGTCGGTGCGAACGATGCTGCTGTACATGGGCGTGCAGCACCACTGGTGGCACCTCGCTCTGCGGCAGGCCGTCTGGGTTCGCAACTGTCTTGAGAGGTCGACACTGCCGCCGAAGACAACGCCGTACCAGCTGCTCATTGGGAAGAAGCCCGACCTGTCGATGGCACGCGTGTGGGGCTGCATGGCGCAGATCCTTGTCCCCGAGCAGCAGCGTGGTGGGAAGGTGAAGCCGAAGGCCAGGTGGGGCCTTCACCTCAGCGTGTCAGAGGAGAGCAAGGGCTGGGAGCTCCTCGACATCGTCGACAACCGGTTGGTTACCACGTCGGGCGTGGTGTTCTACGAGAACATGTCGCTGGAGGTGTGGAAGTCGGAGCAAGGGCCGGCCTCGGGACGGACGCCGACCACCCCGCCGACTGACACCTCGACGGCGACACTCTCTTTGCTCGCCGAGGTCGGTGAGCCTGCTGCAAAGGACGTCGAGGACGTCCCCTCTCCCTTCACCTCCCATGTCCCTCCTGCCCCTCCCCTTGAGGCCGACCTGCGTGGGTTGCCTCCGGTGTCGGCCTCCGGCGATGAAGGGAGAAGTGGGGCGTCGCCTGTGGCGCCGGCCAAGAGCATCGCCGGTGGCCGACGTGACGTCCAGCAAGTCGACGTGAGAGTGAAGTCGACGCCGGAAGGGGTGGCGCAGGCCGAGGAAGTGCAGCCGACTGTGGTGAAGTCGGCAAAAGGGGCAGCGGCGGCGAGGCAGCAGCTGACAGGGGAGCAGGCAGCAGCGAAGCCGATCACGGAGCAGTCAGTGGCCGGACAGTCGGCAGGGGAGCCGACCATAGGGGAGAAGTCGGCAGGGAAGCCGACCGAGGTGCAGCAGGCCGCTGAGAGCA